AGAGAGCCCAGGGACAAAGTGCTATTACTTTGTAGAGACTGCAGCCAGCTCTGCAGAACAAAATGTATAGAAAGTGTTGAATGGAAAATGAATTTAATCTGTGAACTTTCACCCAAACCACAGCTTAAAGAAGAACTGAAACCACATCTTAGTATTGTGTATCCTCAGCAGCATTAAGCAGGCCCTCCTGCAGAGTGTGTCTGTCCTCAGTAAATAATTACTGCGTGAGTGAAGGAATAAGTGAATGAAGCTTGTGTCTTCAGACCTGGACATCACAGTCTACATCTGGGAAGCTTTGAAGGACAGGGTTAGGAAGACAACACAGGGAGTGAAGCCCACTCTGCCTCTTGCTAATTTCAGGGGCTATCTACTAGGGATTGATTGCCTTCCCCTGAAATTGTACTGCTGTCCTAACCCGTACATTTGCCTTGTTTGGAACATGATTTCTCCAGAGGCACAGTTAACAGGGAGCTGTGCTGCTAACTTGAAGAACTCGCCTGCCTGGTGATTAGAATCTCCCAGCCGTTCTGTGAGTCAAAGGTGGACAATGTCCTCCTGCTGGATGCACACCCTCAGAAATTCAGTGGAGAGTCAGCTGTGAATCAGTTCTGACCCCACAACAATGAGTTAAGCTCAGTTCACTACTCACAGGTCATGGTCTCTTTGGCTCCTTGATCTGAGATGTCATGGTGATGACTATGAGATGGTTACATCGTCATCTGTGATTGTGGATGAGGACTTGCCCGTCAGTGGCTGTTGTGGGGCAGAACTAAGTACCACACCCAGGAGCATCTGATTCTCAGGCTTAATCTAATGAAGAGATCCCTTTACTGCCATGACTTGATAGCTTCAGCAGGTTGATGAAAGAAGCAAAGAATGATCTTCAAAATAAACTCCTGGTTTCAACAAGGAGCTTGTGTGATTCACTAGCTGCCCACAAGGATCACCAGGACTCTTCACACAGTTCCCAACAAAATGCAGCAGGACTCAGGGCTGGGATCCATAGATCTGCACCTCCTGGCTAGACAGTGTTATTATGGTGGGGTGCAGCCAGAGAAAGGGTCCAGATAGCTGTGCTGTGACAATCTCCCCAATACAGAGTCTCCACAGAGGGGACTCCATTCAAAGAGACTTTAGACAGTGGGAAACATCACTGAAAGTAATCTTACTCCATGGAAATATCTCAACAATAATCTGGAATCAGATCATACCATTCTCTGTGGGAAACCAGCCTTTGACATTTGCAGAGCCTACCACGCTCATGGTGAACCCTGGCCTGTTTGGGGCTCATAACTTTTCATTGAAACCAATGGACGAAGCAATGGGGGAATTTGCTCCAGCAAATTTTGTTGTCTATTTCAACTCTCCAGATTGCCTTTTTATACTGACATCAGTTATCTCTGAATTTGAATTTCAAATGGAGGATGACAAAGCAAGAAATTCACTAGGAATTCTGACTTGCAGACCCTCCAGCTTTGCCAACATCGAGGCCCCACCTCCACACACATGGTCTGTGCTCAGCGGAGATTTTGAAGGACGATGCCTACAGACCCTCCTGCTGAGGGAGAGTCTTGAATGCTCCATGATTACATCGTCTCTCCTGCAAATTAATGTGACCCTTTCTTAGGAATTGCTCCTCTAAGAATCCTTTTGAACAAGTTAAATCACCAGTGCAGGACACCCTACTAGAATCCACGGGTTTGAAGCTGTCATTCTAGCAAATCGAATCCTGGTCACAAATGAATCCCTAGGGTATCTCTTCATTTTAATTTACCTTCCCCCTTTGCTTTTCTGGAGGGAGCTGTGGTGAATTAATCTGTAAGGATCTGCAGAGCGCATTCAAATGCTGTGCTTCTCCAGTGGTTCAAGTGCACCAGCAGCTCCACACGAGAAACATGGGCAGTCTCTTCCAGGTGTGTTGCAGCCTCAGAAACATGCTGGCCAGTCACTTGTGTGTCAGTTCTCACTTAACAGCAACAACTTTGCTTTTTAGTTTTGTTCCAGAGAGTATTTCAAACGGCTTGCACCATCAATTTCTTTTCATGTTTGTGACTACATCTACACTGTTTGCCCCCCAAGTGAGTGACAAGTTAGAGAGTTCTGTGTGACAGTTCTCCCAGAAAAGGGGTAAAAGGATGAAGACATAACAGACAAGGTGGGCACACGGACAAGCTTTTCATGGTCACACAGTGGCTGCTTGTTTCTGTGTGTACAGATTTCTATCTTAAGGCCACACACATTGTGCAAAACTTCCCTTGGCATTTCCCGAACCTATGACCTGGTGACACCATGGTTAAAACACATGACCACGAACCTAAAGGTGTGGAGTCTGAACCCACAACCTGCTGTATAGGAGAAAGTTGAGGCAGGTTAATTCCATAAAGATCTGCAGGCTTGGAAATTCTTTCTGTCCTATGGGCAATCTCCACCAGGGCAATTTACAGCTTCGGAAGCAATCGATCCCTTTGAGTGGTGATGCTGGCAAGCAGTAGTGAATATCCCATGGGCTACCAAGAGAACAAACAAGTCCATGCTGGAGAAAGTGAGACCAGGGTGCTCCTTTGTGGCTGGGATGTTGAAGCTCCAGCTCACGTACTTAGGGCATCTTGTCAGGAGGGGTCCGTGAATGGAGAAGGACATCATGCTTGGAGAAGTGGACCATCAGCAAAAGAGAGAAAGACCCTCAGTCAGATAGAACAACACAGTGACTGTAACAATGGGTCGAATATCAGAGGTGATGAGGACCAGCACCACCTAGGGCAGGGTTCAGATCTTCTATTTACAGGGTTGCTTGAGTCGTAGTCAATTCAATGGCATCTAACAACAACAATTCTGCCTGTAAGGTCTCTCTATGGGTCAGAATCAACGTTGATGACTTTAACTTGAGTTTTTTCTGTTTTATTTCTGGGAAAGGATTTCCTTCCATAATGCTGAGGTAGGTGTGCAGCCGTGCTCCACACACAGTCTGAAGGTGCTCGAACAGCCCTGTGCTCCAAGAACCACAGGGCCCAGGGGTCCAGGTGGCACAAGAGGCAGTGCTCATGGTCACAATGCTTTTAAGAGCGTGGATGGTTCACATGGTTAATATGTTGCCAACTAACCAAGAGGTTGGCAGTTTAGATCACCCAGAGACGTCTTGGAAGAAACAAAGGACAGTCTACTCCTGATAAGTCAGTCATTGTAAACCCTTCAGAGCACAGTTTGACTCCGACACATGGAATCACTGAATCTGAACTGACCCCACAGTTGCTGGTACTGACGCCGCCCTGTGCTGAGAGGCAGTTTCCAGAAAGAGGCTGCCTAGGCTTCCCCACAGGGAAATGACTGAGGAGACCACAGTGACTGCTAGTTCTGAGAGAGGGCACCTGGGGACCTGCCTGGTAGCCACCTGGCCCAGCGCCTCTGCAGTCCTCAGTTTCCAGGCTGAGCACTGCATTCTGGAGCATGGAGAGGACTGAGGAGAGGGGAAGATGGGAGAGGAGCTGAGTGGATGGGAAGGGGTGGTGTACACACTAGAATGGTAAAGACATGGCGAGTTGACCGTGCTCGACTGTTAGCCCTGGCTAACCCTGTGGGACCAAGGCCAGCCACTTGGCCTTGCTGTGCCCTCAGCTGCTAAAGGAAATGAGAAGTTTCAATCCATCCTTTGGTGCCCTCCAGCTCTAACCTGCTATGAACCCGGAAACCAATGGGTCTGGAAAGCCTGGTTTTCTCAGCTCTTGAGGGCTGCTGTGACACAAATACCAGCAGCTGGCTTTCAACAAAAACTCAGTGCCATGGAGTTGGAACTGACTCAGAGCTGACTCTCCTGCAATGTTTCTGAAGGCTGTAAATCACATAGGAGGAGACGACCCACCTTTCTTCTGAGGATTGCTGATGGATTCAAATACCAAAGGCATCACATCACCTTCATGTTAGCAGAGTTACTCCCTGTGGACTATACTATCAACTCCTTGGCTTCAAAGAAGAAAAATTTAGTTTTCAAAATTCTGCAAGCTGCAAGTCCCAATCAGGGTTTCTGCTGTGTCCACCCCTTCCTGGTCATTAGACTGGAGCTTGCTTTGGTTCCTGGTCTTAATGGGGACCCTCACATTGAGTCAGCCCCCAACCCACCTCCTGCATGTCTCCTGATCTACCCTGCTATTCAGAACTCAGAAGTGTCATGGCCTCATTAGCATGACAACAGAAAATTCCTATTTCTAAATTGTATCATACCTGCTCAGTTATTCTTCTCAACATAGAAAATCCATCTTTCCAAATTGTATCACACTCATTCAGTACCCCAACATCACTCCAAAATGTTCATTCTTCTTGACTAGAAAGTGATTAAAAATACCAGAGATTGGATCAGGCACATCTTAGTCTTTGAACTGACACCATTGCTTGACTAGCGTGCTCCTTGGAGGCAAGGATAGTAGAACTTCACCTCATATACTTTGGGCGTGTTGTTGAGTGAGGGGCCAATAGACCAAACCTCCATAGTTGTATCTTTTTCACAGCAGGACCTTAATATCTGGAGGTAAAGACACTCGAGTTCACCCTGGTGGTCAAGAGACTCAAAATCTTGCCACACCATAACCACCACTGAGAGGTTGCCATGGTGAAGAGGGGCCGTCACAGCAGCCAGGGCAGTAAAACTTGGGAGCATTTTACCGCAGGCTGCACGCTGATGGGAATACAGTTTTATTCTGTATGAGGTGGGGAAGATCCCTAAACGTATTCATTATGACCTAGTCTCTTTTGAAGAATGGAAGACTTGTGAACCTCAGAAGAAAACTCATTGATGTGGATAGAGTCCAGTTCTGAACAATAGTGACCCCCTGCGACAGAGGAGAACAGCCCCACAGACCTATTAAGGCTGTAACCTTGCAATAGCTGCTGAATGCTTTAACCACTGTGCCATCAGGGCTCCTTGAACTTAGGAGACAGGGTAAGAAATGTGTCCTTTAACAAATCTAAGTGCTTGGCTTCCTGTTTATGCCTCTCACTGTTAGTGGGGCATGGCCAACAGGGGCAAGTGTCGAGGTCATTGTACCGCCATGAAGCTACACAGCCACCAACAAGACCAGCGGTGGCCTGAGAAACAGTGCAGAGAAGCCCATTCGGACGCAGCTCTGAAGGCCAGTCCTGTGGGAGGTGATTCCAGCACTAAGGGAATTGTGTTGAGAAAACTGAGTGTTCAGCCCAAGAAGCCAAATTCTGTTGTTAGAAAGTGTGTCAGAGTCCAGCTCATCAAGAATGGCGGGAAAAGCACAGCCTTTGTGCCCGATGACGGCTGCTTGAATTTTATTGAGGAAAACGATGACGTTCTTATTGCTGAATTTGACCACAAAGTTCTTGCTGTTGGTGACATTCCTGGAGTCTGTTCCAAGGTTGTCAAAGTGGCCAGTGTATCTCCCCCGACACACACATTCTCTAGCCTTTATTTTTTAAAATTTTTATTCATTATTGAATATTTTCCCCTCCCTCTCCCCAAGCCCACCACACGAGCTCCAGTTGTTCCAGATTGTTCTCCTACATATAATACCTAATCAGTGTATCTATTCTGCCCTTATACAAAGGCAAGAGGAATGGCCAAGATCGTTTTAAAAAAATTATTATATTCATTTTAATGAACATTTACAGAGATTTTGGATTTCCATTCATTCATTGTTGCACCTTTCTCCCTGCCCAGCCCTCTCCCCCAGTTCACTCCTCTCTTTGAAAAGTAAAAGAAAAATTCTTTCATTGGTATACAATCCCCCTGCCCCCACCCCACCCACCCCAGCTCTGCCCCAGTACACTCCACTATGCAACCTTAATTCTGGACTCTTGTGATAACCATAATACCCTATCATATCTCATGGTTAAACTGTTCTCTCCCTCATCTATTTCAATGTAGTATATACATAATTTATCCAGTTTTTCTCAGTCTTACTCCAACCCTGATGTCAGTCCCATTCTACAACAGTGGCACTATGCAGTATTTGTCCTTTTGTGACTGAGATACTTCACTCAGCATAATGTCATCCATTTTTAAGAATATTGCATGAGTTCCTTGGTTTTCAATGCAGCATAGTATTCCATTGTGTGAATATACCACAGCTTCTCTATCCATTCATCTGTTGATGGGCACGTGGGTTGTTTCCAACTCTTTGCTATCATGAACAAAGCCGTGATAAATATGGGTGTGCATATATCTGCTTGGATGTCGGTTATGGTCTCTTTAGGGTATATTCCCAGTAGTGGAATTGCTGGGTCAAATGTTTTCTCTATTTGCAACTTTTTGAGAAAGGGCCATACCACCTTCCACAGTGGTTGCACCATTTTACACTCCCACCAACAGTGAATAAGGGTTCCAGTCTCTCCACAACCTCACCAGCATTTGTTGCTTACTGTTCTGTTAAATTTTGCTATTCTGACTGGGGTGAGATGATATCTCATAGTTGTTTTGATTTGCATCTCTCTCAGAGCTAGGGATTTTGAACATTTCTTCATGTGCTTGTTGGCCATCTGAATGTCTTCTTTGGTGAAGTGTCTGTTCATGAAGAAAATGTCCCAGTAATAAATTTGAAGGCATTCTCCTTCCATGTGATTTAAAGCCACCGTCACCCTCCCCCCAAATCCACTGGAGGGTCAACTACCAGTCAGTTCCAGATTAGTGGCAATGAGTGAGCTGCTCACTGTGACGGGCATCGCCTAGCAGGTGAGGCAAGTGCACTGTCTCCACTTTCTAGAGCGGAAGCCGAAGCTGAGACCCACACACTCTGGGGACAGAGCTGAGATTCACAGTGTGCTGGTTTCTTAACCCCAAGCCATGCAGATGAGAGAGACTGGCATAAAGGAAGAGAATTTCAAAACAGGCAGAACTTAGTGTATAAATGCGTAAAGACACTCCAAGAAATGGAAACACAGTGAAGGTTTAAAGAATGAAATGAAATGTGAAACTTGTTTTCTCATATGTTTGGATCAAGTCAGGTATTTATCCTCTAAACTCTGCCATGAAAATTCCCTGGATAATTTCACCTCTCTGAAATGTAATTTCCTTCCTTGCAAATGGTGCATATTCACTGGTAGGGATGTTGAGTTAAGTATACCAGAAGCCGTGAAAACACTTTCAGAGGTTGAAGGCAGGATAAATACAGGATATCATTGTTAAAATAGAGTGAGTTTATGGGCAACTAGCGAATTACTTGTGTGAATCATGACCATTTATGAAGTACTAAAAGAGAGGATGCATTAAAAAGCCTCTGCTGTTGCTGTTTCCTGCTCCCAATATATAACAAGCTTCTCAAACAATTTCACTTCCTTCCTTCTTCAAGGGATGAATCTGGCTGGAGACAGCACACCGAGCTGGAGAGCAATTCCCTGGTGGAGACCGCCCTCGTGCGGCAATTTCTCAACTGACAGCTCCATCTCTGCTCCAGGGGATTAAAAGGTACCAGATGTCTTCTAGGGCAGGTCTTCCAACTCCACAGTGCACATAGTAGATCATCATAGAGCACCCACGAGGCCACCTAAGTCACCATCTCAGCTTCCATCCCAAGAGTCCCTTTTCTCCTCTCCTATGAACTAAGTGAAAAGATTTTTTCTTTTTCTCCTATTATGTTTGTTGTTGTTGTTGTTGTTGTTGTGTGCCGTCGAGTCATTTGCGGCTCATAGGAACCCTATGTACAACAGCCCTAAACCCTGCTCTATCCTGTGCCGATCGCACTGCCTCTGACACATCCATCCCTATTACCCCAGTCACTGAATCAATCCACCTCATAGAGGGCCTTCCCTTCCTGCGTTGTCCCTCCACCCTCCCAAGCATGATGACCCTCTCCAAGGACCTGTCCCTCCTTATAACATGTCCAAAATATGTCAGATGAAGCCCCAGAATCCTTGCCTCTAAGGAGCAGCCTGGTTTAATCCTCTCCAGGCTGAATCTGTTTTTTCTCTTGGCAGTCCATGGTATACTCTTCTGCAGTACCACAGCTCAAAGGCATCAATTCTCCTCCTATCCTCCCTAGTCATTGTCCAACTCTCTGATACATAACAAGTAATTGCAAAGACCATGGCCTGTACCAGACACACCTTAGTATCCAGAGACACACCGTTGCTCCTGAGTTCTTTAGGGAGGTCCCTAACAGCAGACTTTCCCATCACAATACGTTTTTTTATTTCCTAGCTGCTGGTGCCAAGAGTGTTGACCATGGAGCCGAGCAAACTAAAGCTGTGAACAATCTCAATCTCTTCCCCATCCATCCTGATGCTGCCAGTTGGTGCAGCGTTGAGAATCTTTGTCTTCTTGGGCCTATGGTGATGAAGGAAGAAGGTCAAGCTGCTTTGAAGGAAATAGCAAAATATAAGGCCCCAGGAATAGATGGTATATACCAATTGAGATATTTCAGCTAACAGATGCTGCCCTGGATGTGCTCACAAAGTTGTGCCAAGAAATCTGGAGAACAACCACTTAGCCAACTGACTGGAAGAGATCTATATTTGTTCCCATTCCAAAGAAGGGTGACCCCAACAGAGTGTGGAAACGACAAAATTATATTATTGATTTCACATGTAAGCAAGATTCTACTGAAGATTATCCCAAAACGACGAACAGCACATCAGCAGAGAACTGTCAGAAGTCCAGGCTGGGTTTAGAAGAGGTCGTGGTACTAGGGATATTGTAGCTGATGTTAGATGGATCTTAGCTGAAAGCAGGGAATACCAAAATAATGTATATCTGTGTTTCATTGATTATGCAAAGGCATTTGACTGTGTGGATTATAACAAACTGTGGCTGACTCTGAGAAGAATGGGAATCCCAGAACATTTAATAGTTCTAATGTGAAACCTATACTTGGACCAAGAGGCAGTCGTCAGAACAAAGCAGGGTAACTCTGCATGGTTCAAAATTGGGAAGGGTGTACGCCAAGGATGTGTTTTATCTCCATACCTTTTCAACCTGTATGCAGAGCAGATTATCCGAGAGGCTGGGCTCTATGAGAAGTGTGGCGTCAGGATTGGTGGAAGATCTATTAACAATCTGCGTTATGCAGATGACACAACCGTGCTTGCTGAAACTGAGGAAGACCTCATTCACTTGCTGCAGAGGTCAAAGGACTGCCTTCAGTATGGACTGAGGCCATTATGTTTGTTGTTGTTGTTATGTGCCATCAAGTTGTTTGGGACTCATAGCGACCCTATGTACAACAGCCCTAAACCGTGCTCTATCCTGTGCCAATCTCAATGTCTCTGACACACCCATCCCGAGTACCCCAGTCACTGAATCAATCCACCTCATAGAGGGTCTTCCCCTCCTGCGCTGTCCCTCTACTCTACCCAGCATGATGTCCCTCTCTAAAGACCTGTCTCTCCTTACAACATGTCCAAAGTATGTCAGACGAAGCCCCAGAATCCTTGCCTCCAAGGAGCAGCCTGGTTTAATCCTCTCTGTGATGAATCTGTTTGTTTTCTTGGCAGTCCAGGGTACATTCAATACTCTCCTCCAGCACCACAGCTCAAAGGCGTCAATTCTCCTTCTATCCTCCCTAGTCATTGTCCAACTCTCTGATGCATAACAAGTGACTGCAAAAACCATGGCCTGTATCAGGCAGACCTTAGTCTCCAGAGAGACACTGTTGCTCTTGAGTATTTTGGAGAGGTCCCTAACCGCAGACTTTCCCATCGCAATACGTTTTTTTATTTCCTAGCTACTGATGCCAAGAGTGTTGACCGTGGAGCTGAGCAAACTGAAGCTGTGAACAATCTCAATCTCTTCCCCATCCATCCTGATGCTACCGATTGGTCCAGTGGGGAGAATTTTTGTCTTCTTGACATTGAGCCTCAGTCCATATTGAAGGCTGCAGTCCTTGACCCTCTGCAGTAAGTGCATGAGGTCCTCCTCAGTTTCAGCGAGCAGGGTTGTGTCATCTACATAACGCAGATTGTTGATAGATCGTCCACCAATCCTAATGCCATGCCTCTCCTCATAGAGCCCCGCCTCTTGGATAATATGCTCTCCATACAGGTTGAAAAGGTATGGAGACAGGGCACATCCCTGGCATACACCCTTCCCAATTTTGAACCATGCAGTATTACCCTGTTCTGTTCTGACGACTGCCTCTTGGTCCAAGCATAGGTTTCGCATTAGTACGATTAAATGTTCTGGGATTCCCATTCTTCTCAGAGTCAGCCACAGTTTGTTATTATCCACACAGTCAAATGCCTTTGTATAATCAATGAAACACAGATAGACATTTTTTCTGGTATTCTTTGCTTTCAGCTAAGATCCATCTAACATCAGCTACAATATCCCTAGTACCACGACCCCTTCTAAACCCAGCCTGGACTTCTGGCAGTTCTCTGCTGATGTACTGTTCCAGTCGTTTTTGGATAATCTTCCGTAGAATCTTGCTTGCATGTGAAATCA